AACGGAGTTAAAGCAGAACAGAGTTGTGAGTTGACTGCAGAACTGTGGGGTCAGTGCTCAAGGTGAAGCAATGCCCAGTTAATAGAGATCTGTTAGGTTTCATGTTGGTAATTTTCCTGTTTTAATCTGTTTCACTTTTTTGTGTACATTGGTAAGCAAGGCTAATGTAGTTGGGTGCATTTGTTGTGTGTTAATATTTTTATGTAGCTAAAGCAGAACAGAGTTGTGAGTTGACTGCAGAACTGTGGGGTCAGTGCTCAAGGTGAAGCAATGCCCAGTTAATAGAGATCTGTTAGGTTTCATGTTGGTAATTTTCCTGTTTTAATCTGTTTCACTTTTTTGTGTACATTGGTAAGCAAGGCTAATGTAGTTGGGTGCATTTGTTGTGTGTTAATATTTTTATGTAGCTAATAGCTTCTTCTAAACGTAGTAACAAAGAATGTAGGTCATTTCTTTATAAGAATTAGGACTCATACCCCAGAAAAGAGGAACCTTGAGAAAGATTTGTGGCAGGCTGCAGCATGAAAACCAACATTACTGGAGTTAACCAGACAAATGCTGCTCTGGCTGTGTGTATGCAGAGATTATCAGTTAGGGGCAGGCTCCCTCTCAATGTGCAGTAAGTTGATGTCTGATGTCCTTCCTGAAGTCAAAATATATTTAGCATGTGTATTTATATTTTTTAATGAGACCTGTTAAATGTTGTCGTAATTTCCCTAGAAGTGCATTATGTTTCCTGTCAGTTTCAGTCACTGAAGTCCAGATTTAATATGCTCTTTTTTTTCTCTCCATAAAGAGAAGTACTTGCCTCCAACAAAACTTGGGAGTTGATTTATCAGAAATTACTGATGATGAGGTTCTTTCTTCTCAGTATTCTGTCTGAGGTTAGAGTGAAGTATCACAGTATTACTACTTAGCCTTTAAAATTCCTGTAGCTGGTCTGCAGCTTGGAATTTTCCCAAAAGGCAGCAAGTGTGAATTTCTCTGCAGCCATGAACTTGAGCTGGCTTGTTAATGGCATCTGTTAGGAGAGGGTCCTAGGCAAGGGATCAACCTTTTTGCAGATTTTCATAAAATCAGAGAATATTTAGGGGTTGGAATGGGCCTCAAAGATCATCTAGTTCCAGCTCCCCCTGTCATGGGCAGGGAAACCTCCCACCAGACCAGGTTGCTCAAGGTTTTCTCCAGTGTGGCAGCTGTTTTGAACACTGAGCTGCATTCAGACACTTCCAGCCAAGGCAGGTGGATTCAGCTTAGCCCATAGGTTCAAGGTGTGCTTAACTTTCCTTGTCTTGGGCATGACTGGTTAGAATTTGCCTTCAGGATTTCTCAAAATGAGAACATTTCACTCCTGACAGTCAAACCTTTCATTTCTTCACTTCAGCAACATTTTCTTAACTCTAATCTGATGTCTTCCTCCCGTTTTTTTAACAAGGCAGCTCTTCCCCAGCTGTTGGGTTGTTTCAGAGGTTCCCTGGGTGTGCCCTTGGTGGCACCCCTGTGTCTGCTGGTTGCTGCTCTCGGCCTCGTGCTGGCACAGCTGAGCCTGCAGCTGTGTGGGGAACTGATCCAACTGAAAGATAATCCAGCAGAAAAATGTGGTGCAGTTGTGTTGCCCCAGAATGTGAAAGCTCAGCCTCAGGTTTTGCAGGAGGAGGTGGATGGGTTGCCGTAGAGGTTTCTGGGTGCTGGCAGTGTTGGGAATCCAGCTAGGACTCTGTGGTGTGAACCTCTGAACTGTTTGCTCCTGCATTCCATAGGAGAGCCTCTACCAGAATTATTGTGCTCTAGTCTTGGAGGAAGCTGATGTTGAATCAGTAGTTGGAGCTGGATTTATTTTTTTCCCTAAGTCTGGTTTCCGTAAGAAGCACAGACTGTAGACAGTGATGTTTTAAGGTTCTAGTTGACTTGAGTTCTAGTTGATTGCTGCTTAATGAGCTCATGGACTCTGACATCATCCCTGTTTTCCTTAGGGAACCTTATGTCTATTTTGTAGAAGGGTCATACGTATTGGCTGTGTTCCAGCCTGTGTCTTGGAGCACAGCTAATGCTTGCACAAATGGAGATGTGCTTTCAGCATTTGTCTCCTTGAATTGCTGTTCTCTAAGCAAAATTCCTGGAAGTAGAAAATGCAATTAATGAATGATTTGGGAAAAACATGCAATTATTCACGCCACAGTTGCTAAAGCACAGTAAATACTGCACTAAAATAATTCTTGCTGCTGTACTCAAGTGGGGTTCATGTTTTTCAATGTATTGTGTCACAACAGTTTTAGCAATGCTTATTGTGATTGTAGATAGTGCGTTGTCAAAGGCACTAATGTAAAAATATTTTAAGTCATTTATAAGATAGTGTTTCTTAGCCAAGTGGCATTTTTTTTAGCAATTGTTAAGGTAAAATTTAAATCAATAC